CCGAAGATCAACTTGCCAATATCTTCACCAAGCCACTTGATGAGAAGAGGTTTTGCAAGCTAAGGAATGAATTGAACATCCTTGACTTCTCCAATATGTGTTGATGCACCCCCCACTTATATGACATGCCTCTCCTTCGAGCAATCCAAGGTAAAAGTTGATTGGCATGGCATACACCCTTGCTAAGGACATGTTTAGTACATCTAGACATATTTCACATTTGAATAGGCTCATTCATGAAAATCAAATGAATTTGATGCTTGTATGGTACCACAATTGCGTGTATGCTTGAAATGATCTAGTGGTAGCATATGACATATTTGTGGGCTTGTAAACCTAGTATTTGATCTAGAAAATAAGCTATAAGTGTTTAACTCAACATGGTACAAGATAACCCTTATTTGGAGATGTGAAGAAGCTTGTCCTTGGATCAAACCAAGTTAAATATCTTTTGCAAGTGATCTAGATTGAACCAAATTGGGAAAATGATTCTCACTTCATATGGTTTCACCCCAATCTATCTAAAATTTGAGCTCACCTTTTTGTGCTAATTGTTGATAAAGGAGGAGATAAATTCACAAAGATAGTAAGATAGGGGGAGCAAACAAATGAAATGACATTGTAAGGGGATCAATCAAAATTGCACACAAGTAGGGGGAGCAAGCTAATAAACTTGTATGTTGTATTTGAATGTGCATTTCATATATTTGCTTTCATAGCACAAGTTTTAAATTTCAATTTTCATGCTTGTGTGGTGTATGCTAGTTATATGCCTGAATGGTGAAATGAAAAACTAGCATGCATAGGCTAAAGTAACTAGACTTATGTTTATTTTATGGAAACTAGACCCTTGCTTGTAATGTTGATCTCATGGGGTATTCTAGTTTTTGTGTATGTCTAGTTACTAATGGTGCTAAGGATGGTATGTTGGTGCACTCCGATTGGTATCACGCTTCAAAGGTCTATCTCTTAAACCTTAGCATCATTTGATAGATATTGGCTCCTATATTTCCTATCTAAGCATATGTGCAAGCTTCAATCCAAACTCTTAGCACATATGTAGGGGGAGCAATTGCTACCATATGAGATTCATAAAACTTGTCCATATCCTTTTACACATGGTAAATATGCTTGGGCAAGCAACGTGGATTCAATTAAATTTCAATTCATATCTTTGTGTATGGGTTGTCATCAATTACTAAAATGGGGGAGATTGAAAGCCCTAGTTTGGTTTTAGTGAATTGATGAAACCCTAAGTGCTAAGCTAGTTTATCAAAGTGATTATGAGATAGGTGACACATTCGAAGTGGTGAAATAAATGAAGATCATAACATGATGATGGTGATGCCATGATGATGATCACATGTTTGGACTTGGAAAAGGATAAAGAAAAATAAAAAGGCTCAAAGCAAAGGTATAAGTGGTAGGAGCCATTTTGTTTTGGTGATCAAGACACTTAGCGAGTGTGATCACATTTAGGTTCGATAGCCATACTATTAAGATGGGTGAAACTAGTATCGAAATACAGTTATCAAAGTGCCACTAGATTCTCTAAATCATTGCATATGCATTTAGGATCTAGTGGAGTGCTAACACCCTTGAAAATGTTTGTGAAAATATGCTAACACATGTGCACAAGGTGATACACTTGGTGGTTGGCACATTTGAGCAAGGGTGAAGAAGATAGAGTTGAAAAGGAGTTAGTCGTGCTGGTCACAGAGTGATCGAACGCATCTGGTATGTGGCTCGGTACTGAAATGAAGAGAGCGACCGGACACGTCCGGTCGCCACACCGGACACGTTCGGTGTGAATCAGCGAAGTCGATGTTCAGTGTTAGAGTTGATCGGACGCTGGGAGCGTCCGGTCCGGAGTGACCGGGCGCGTTCGGTCGAACCTGGGAGCTTACTGGACTTGACCGGACGCTGAGGATCAATGTTCGGTCACTTTCTAACAGCACGTCCGGTCAGCCTAGGGAACTCTCTGGACTCGACCGGATGCTGTGGCTCAGCGTCCGGTCGTTTCTAACTCAGCGTCCGGTCGCAAGTGAATGTGTGGCAGCAATGGCTACATCAGTTTGAATTAGACACGTGGCAGTCAGGTAGCGACCGGAAGCGTCCGGTTGCCCTACCAGACGCATCCGGTATACACGACCGGTGCGTCTGGTGCACACAGACCTGCGCATCCGGTCGATGCGCAGTCAGCCCAATAATTGAGCCAACGGCTCTATTGATTGGGGGTGTCTATAAATACCATTTGGCCGGCTCTAGCTCACTCTCTTGGCCATTTGTATTGACATAGCAACCTTGTGAGCTTAGCCAAAGCCCTCCCAGTCATCTCCATCATTGATCCAACATCTTTGTGAGATTGGGAGATAATCCAAGTGCATTGCTTGAGTGATTGCATCTAGAGGCACTTGGTATTCGTGTTTCGCTGTGGGATTCACTTGTTTCTCTTGGTGGTTGCCACCACCTAGATGGCTTGGAGCAGCGAGGATCGTCGAGCGAAGGTTGGTGATTGTCTCCGGCTCCGATCACGGTGATTGTGAGGGGTTTTGTGCCTTCCCCGGTGGAGCGCCAAAAGGTAACTCTAGTGGATTGCTCGTGTCATTGAGTTACCTCACTTGTGGGTACGTTCTTGCGGTGTCCAAATTGCATGGACGAGGTTCGTGCAACACCTCTTAGCCACTGAACCACCAAGTGTTGGTCAACACAACGGGGACTAGCTTGCCGGCAAGCACGTGAACATCGGGAGAAAAATTGGTTGTCTCTTGCCCTTTGGTATTCTCCCGGTGATTGCTTTAGTATTTATCTTGTGATTGGTTCATTCCTCTACACGGTGGTATAATCACCCTACTCACCCATTTATATTCTTGCAAACTAGTTGTAGCAAGCTCTTTAGTTTAGCTAGAATTGAGGGCTTGCTTTGTAGTTTAAGTTCATCTAGTGGAGCTCTTTAGTGTAGCAAGTGTGAGAGCTCTTTGTGAGTAGTGACATAGGAAATTGTGTGTTTAGTGATCATAGCAACTAGAATTGTTGGATAGGTGCCTTGCAACCCTTGTAGAGCTATAGCAAGTTTGCATTTCGCTATTTGTTATACTAATCAAATTGCTCTAGTTGGTTTATAGATTTTTAAATAGGCTATTCATCCCCCCTCTAGCCATATTAGGACCTTTCACCAGGAAGAATCATTCACATGATGGCGGTGGCTGTGGATGGGGTCATGGCTGTGGTGGTGGTAGCGGTGGCCAGGGCAATCATGGAGAAGCTAGAAAGGATGGCGTGGTTAAGTGTGACAAGAGTCACATCAAGTGTTTCAAGTGTCATCTCTATGGGCACTATGCCAACAGGTACCCTGACAAGAAGAAGGAAGAAGAGGCGCACCATGTCAAGATGGTGGAGTATGAGCCTATAGTGCTGCTTGCTGAAACGGTGGAACCAGGACAACTCGAGCATCTGTTGTTAGAAAAGGTTTAGGAGGAGTTGTGTCTAAATGAGGTGCATCTGGATACTGAATTGCACTTCACTGACGATGGGGAGTCCTGTGGTGAATTGTGGTACCTGGATAATGGAGCCAGTAACCATATGACAGGTGATGATTAGAAATTCAGAGATTTAGACACCACTGTTGGTGACAAGGTATGTTTTGGAGATGGTTCTATAGTAGAAATTCATGGTAGATGTTCCATTTTATTTCAAGGCATTTCTGGAGATCAATGGATAATGCTTGATGTCTATTTTATTCCAAAGCTTAAGAGTAATCTTATTAGTTTGGGTCAGTTAACTAAAATTGGGCATAGAATAGTGATGGATGATGATCTGATAGAAGTGACTGAGAAAAGCACAATGGGAATGATAATGAGAGTATAAAGATCTGGGAATAGATTGTACAAAATTGAGTTGAAAACTGTAGAACCAGTAAGTCTTCTAGCCAATGTGGATGATGAGTCATGGTTGTGGCATGGCAGGCTTGGCCATGTCAATTTTCAGTCAATCAGGATGTTGGTAGAAAAGAAGATGGCAGGGGGGTACCTCTGATTGAGCACCCAGATCAAGTTTGTCATTCTTGTTTAGCAGCAAAGCAAACAAGAAAATCTTTTCCACAATGTGCTAAGTGGAGGGCAGATGAGCCTTTAGAGTTGATTCATGTTGATTTGTGTGGACCTATTACACCTGAAATAGTTGGTGGAAACAAGTATTTCACGCTATTAGTTGATGATTGTACTAGATGGATGACAATCTCAATTCTGAAAACAAAAGACCATGCTTGTGCTGCATTTGTCAGGTTTAAGGCAGAGGCTGAGAATAGCTTGGGTCACAAAATTAAGATGGTGAGATCAGATAGAGGTGGTGAATTTTTAGCCCTAGCTTTTAGGGATGTATGTGAGCAGGTTGGCATCAAAAGGCAGTTCACTACACCCTACTCACCACAGCAAAATGGTGTTGTTGAAAGAAGGAATAGGACTGTTATGGAGATGGCTAGATCTTTACTAAAATGCATGAGTGTACTAGGATGTTTCTAGGGAGAAGTAGTGAGACACATAGTGTACTTGTTGAACAGGTTGCCAACTAAAGTAATGCGGAGTAGAACTCCATTTGAGGGATGGTGTGGTAGAAAACCTCAACTTGGGCATCTGAAGGTATTTGGGTGTAGAGCAAATGTCAGGCCAACAGTGCCACATTTGAAGAAGTTAGATGATAGGAGTGTGCCTATGATTTATTTTGGAGTTGAGGAGGGCATAAAGCTCATAGGTTGTATAATCCAAAATCCAAAAGAATTTTAGTCAGCAGAGATGTTGTCTTTGAAGAAGGAATGGCTTGGGAATGGAGCGCTGAATTTGGTGAAAATTCAAAATTTGTAGTGGATGAGTCTTTGGGTGTTGTAGCTCAACCATGGACCGGTGTTGTTGTTGTTGTTGTTGTTGGTAATCAGCAAGATCACTCAGATGAGAATTCAGGGGGAGCATGAGGTGCATTTGATGGTGTACAAACCACTAGTGAAGTGGTTGAGTCAGTTCAGCAGGGAACTGAGACACAGACTGACACTATTCATGGTCAGACAACAGATGTAGAATCAGCTGCAGCTCAAAATGCAGACTTGGATCAAGGTGATATGGACATGGGAGATTCAAGTGACTATGATGAGGAACCTTTGAGTTTCAGAAGCCTGAATGAAGTGTATCAAGATAGTGTGGAAGTGGAGTTAACTTTTGACACAGGAGTTGATGCACTATTAGCAGTGATGGAGGAACCTAAGTGCTACAAAGAAGCAGCTGGTGATAGAGATTGGGTGGCAGCTATGTAGAGTGAGATCCAATCCATCAACAAGAACAAGACATGGGAGTTGGTGAACTTACTAGCTGGTCACAAACCTATAGGACTGAAGTGGCTTTTCAAACTGTCGATACAGAATTTTCGTCCCGTGCCGAGGACACACGCAGTAAGTCGAAAGGGTCTGCTCGATGGAGCTGTAGATCCGCCTAGCTTCAGCGCAGGGATGGTCGATCCTACGCACTCGTCCCGAGACGTGCCAGTCAATTTGACCCTGTAATTGACAAGGAGAGAAAGTTCATCAGTAATTAAGAGCGGAACTTGCCGGTGTTGCCAGATAGTCCCGAATGTGCGGCTCTGAAAGTCGATATGAAAGGAGATCGACTAAATAGTCGATTCTAGCATATTCATGAGAATAAATCGGTTAAAGCTCATTGGGTTGTATAGGAAGAATCGATTATCATTCAGGATAAATGTCATTATTTGAACAAATATGAATCAATGGCAATAAGATATCAACAATGATTGGTTTATGCCAAGCCAATGATTACAAGTAACCAAACCCCTTTTTATATAAAGAAACAATTCAACATCACTTAACCGTTTAATAAATATAAATCTAATGAACATGTTAGATCTCATCTATCGCTATGACCAGTGGGGCATGAGGGTGAATCATGCAAGCCATAGAAATAATAATAGACTCGACGACCCTAACTCATTACTAATATCAGTGGGGCATGAGGCTGAATCATGCAGGCCGTAATACAATAATAATATCAGGGGTCTAACATATCTTTCAACCTATCTTTACTTCAACGATCTCGTGATGCGAACTGTTCCTGAAAGCGCTCGATATCGGCTAAAACAGCCAATTTAGACATAGCGCACAGTTAAAGTCATGCCTTATCAGGAATTGATCTACCAGATAACGGTCCCCACTCCACGGTGCTAAGAGTGGGGTGTGAGGCAGAATCACACAGGCCATGATAACAGGCCATGGGACGGTTCTTGCTAGCCAATAAATCTACTCAATACGCAACATGCCTTAACCGCACGCTATGCACGATCAGGATTGACATAAAACAACCGATAAAACATAACCCATCATTTAAGGTGTAGATTAGATCAATTTGAAATTAGCAAACGATGGGCTAAACAAGATATAAGGCCGATCTAGATCAATCCCAATCAGGCAGAGTGATATTGATATAATTAGGTAAATAATGAAAGCAATAAGCAATATCGTTAACTTAATGAATCTACCAAAGACTGCCATTCGAAGGTAGAGCCGATAACTTGACCTTGATCTAGTTCATGCAGTGGGGGTCGACAGGATCGATGCAGCCATACATGAACTAGGCAAGAATCGATAACTAACTTATACCAGAGTCGCAGTGGAGGTCGACCGGATCGATGCAGCCGTACGAACAGAGGTATAAGCCATGACGGTACCTATAACAAGCAGTGGAGGTCGACCGGATTGATGCAGCCGTACTTGCTGAAGAACTCACCGAGATCTACTCTACTCCTACTCCTAAGGGTGACCGAAGCCAAAAAATGTAAATAACTTATGTATTGGATTGATTGTTCTTCTTTTACAATAGCCGGAGTTTGGTATTTATACCCGGGCCCTATGCATGACTCCTGTCTAAGCACGACTTATTACAATTTTTGACCCTAAAGAAAACATTCCTAATTTACGATAACTTGGACTCTAATATTTCCCTTTTTGTAGAATCCAGCATGTTTCGTCCTAGCGTCGAACGTAGCATTTGTTGTTATCTGTTGGCGCTATCTGTGGAAAGCCGATTCCAGATTCTGCATCTGAATTAGATGGTTCTGATCTGCACGCAATTGATTCCTTGGTGACATGATCTTGGGAGCTTCCGAGTCCCTACAACATCTTCTTCCAAATTTTCGTGTAAACACATGCCCCCCAATTTTGGGATAAAAGTAATTTTATTCCAAAATTATCATGTCTGTATCCCTGATTGGTCCACAGTCATGGGTAGAGAACCTTGATCTGGGGTCCACTGTTTCTCGTTGCTTGCGTCCACTCATGAGCCTATGCCTCAAAACTTTTTACAAGAGCGTCACTGCTTCACAGGCACTTGGATTCATCTTCCCGAGCCGGCTATAAAAGGCCTATCTGACCCTGGCGAGAGCAGTTCAACAATTCAACCATGTTTTTCTTCCATCTGCTCCCTCGAGTGCTCTCGACTCCGCTGGACCCTCCATGGTCTATCCTTTTGCTATGAAGATCTCGAGCGGCTAGAAGAATTCTTGTGCATAGGGCGATTGTCTCCCATCTTAGCACCTTGTCAAGCAAGAGAATCAGCTACTGCGGTTAGAAGAATCCTTGTGATATCACCTGGGTCTTCTCTCCATGCTCGTAGAGCTGTTCTAGTGTTTGCAAAGGCTAAAATGCGTGGACACCTTCCCCTTGTTTGCTCAATCAAATGCCCGCCGGGAAAGCCACAAGCTTCTTTCCAGCGGCTTCGAGAAATCGGCTGGGCATTTGTTAGACAATCGGCCTTTTCCTTCCCTGTCGCAATTTTATTAATGGGCCGATGTGACTTGGTTTATGATGACTTTTTGGCCCTGTGGGGATTCAAACTCCCTTCAATCCAAAGAGGCCTTGGTGGATTGATTGCTGGCCAATGTAAATCTTTTGATCTATTCCATGGCATTCTGTAATTTGGGAGAGCAATAAGTTTGAATACGTTATCTCTTCATTATCTATTCCCTGAATTCTCGGAGCGTCGATCCTTTTCCGTATCTGATTTCAATTTCACACCGTTGGTGAGATCTATCTCTCTACCTTCCCGGGCTATATATACAGGCCACGGCTGGGGATCGAAAAACAACTCGCTTCACCTCAAACCTTCCGTGTCCTTAGTATAGTTCTTGCTTCTTCATAGGCTTGAGATCATGGTGAATAGCAAGAAGTTCACTGAGGAGGCCCTCAATGGACCTACATCATCACGTCAGCACCTTCATCGGTAGGAGGGTGCAACTTGTGGTGCGCCCACTGCTTCGGGGAATAGGACCGACTCCGTTTGGCCTTTAGGGTCTTCCTCTTTAATAGCTTGTTGCCAGCTCCCTTGTTATCAAAGGAGGTGGATTGACAACGACGATCTGCTTGCCTCCATTGATCAGCATGGCCAGAGTCTCGCTGAATGTCTCTCCCTTGCGGAATTAGCTCTGGCCATGGTTCGGTGTCGATCCCCTCCCGAGGCCGATTCAGTGGAGGATAGGTTGGCTAAGGCCGAGGCAAAAATCATAGGTGAGACATCTGTCATGACCTTTGCTCCTTTTTCATTTTCATTCTCAAGATTCTGATCACCTTCCCTTTGAATCTTCTTAGATTTGTCTGCCCAACTAGAGAGCCTTTGATCAGCCGCAGAGCACGTGGCGGGATCCATCAACGCCAGATGTGCCGTCCTATCGGTTCGCCTGCACGATATCCCGAATCGCGTCAGGGAGGTCGCTTTGCATGGCGCTTGTCATGGTGCCGCCATGGCACTGGCTTCTACGCAAGCTCATTCTAGCCAAGAACTTCGGTTTCTCCCCCATGGTCTTCTAGCAGCGGCGCACCCTGGGGATCATGAACGCCTGATTGAGGATTTCTTCAGTGCTGCTAACTCTGTAGCCTTTATCTCCCAGGCCGATGACATAATAGCCAAAGTGTTTTCTGGCCCGTAGTTTGTAATAGGTGATATTAGCAAATAATTCCTCTGTCTTGAGTGATTTTTCTTTTGTTTCATACCTCATACTATATGTATCACTCTATCCATGTTTGCTTTGCTCCTGCGGGCGATACACATTGTACCGGCTTTTACCTTTCTGGGTTTATTTTTGCACCAGAAGCGATATCCTTATGATATCGGCTATTAGAGCTGTCAAATGAGCAAATTGGTTGTCAAGCATTAATCCAAACGTTAGGGTAATATTCCTTCAAATATTCCCCATTCAATTGCTCTACCGAATCCTTCTTCCCCTTTCAGTGTTTCCAAAATATAGATATTACCCGGTGCACAATGCTTGATCCGATAGAGTCTCTCCCAATTAGTTGACTACTCTTTGCCAGATTTGATGTCCTTTGACCTGATCGGCAATTTTACTTTTCAAACCAAATCTCTCTCAGAGAATTGTTCATTCTTGCCCTTTTAATCGTAACATTGCACTCCTCAGTTTATGGGCTTCAATGCTTTTCAAGATCGCACAACCGAAGGCAACACAAATCTTCTAAGCTATTCACCACAAATCCTTATAGACTTCGGCATAACGCACCTCGATCCAGTTTGAACTTCCCAAGGAGGGACTATATTATGGCTATACACGAGTTCATAAGGCGACTCTAACAGCCCTTTTGCCCTTGGTCATCAAGGGTAATACATTCCCAACCCTCTCGAAATTCTCATCTCCCTTCTTCATTTGAAGATCAAGTCCTAGACTCTTGGCTTTAATTCTATCTAGGTCTGAAAACACAGCCTTTATTAAGGGAGCCTTTCGATCTTCCATCCTTAGTCATTTGGCGTCGTATTCTCTTCGACATTGGTGAAGTGGCGTTTCACCTTCTATTAATTGCGGTTGCCTTTTTGCGTGCCCCGAGACGTCTGCCTCTTCGCTTCATGTCTTCAAATATCAGCCGAGGCCTTTGGCCTCAAACACATCTCTATCTGCAATTGTTCCTTCGCTCTCTTCTGCATGCCAAAACCCTACAACGGTTCCCTTCCTCTCTTCTGTAGATCCAATCATTTCTCATGGCCGGCGAAGGTAATCGAGGTAAGCACGCGGCAGAGGAGATCCCGATAAAAGACATGCCGATGAACCAGCGTCTCCGACGCATGAGGTGAGATTAGCAACCTCTGTTCATGATGATGATCTGTTCTGACTCGCCTATTGGTTCATTGTGAATGACAACCTTCATCCTTTTCCTAGGACTGACAAACCCGCTGATGCTGCATCTTCCGTGCCAGCTTCATCGTCGGGTTCTTCCAACTCATATGACGGTGATGATGCCTGGCA